GTGAAGAGGAATATGTGTGTGTGAACAGGAATCATTAGTGGCTTTTAAATTGCATGAATACAATATGCAATTTTAGATATGAAATCGTGGATATATGAAACAGGATACACGCTACGGAAATATCCCCTTAAAGGGGCATATAAATAAGAATCATAAGGTGGAATTTTAAATCATGTAATCCCATTAAATTTAATTTTAAATTTCGTTTCCATTGGTGAAAAAATGGTAAGAACAAATCTTCTTTTTATCAGGGAGAAAAAAAAATTTCTTGCTAAAATCCATGAGACAATAAGTGTTACTTATGTGTATTTTGCTAACAGTTTTCTTTTTTTTTAGCTAATATTTTTTGACTTATTAACAAATATCCAAGGTTAGTTGAAAGTTGGTTAACTGATGAAAAATTATTTTTTCTGGATTGTCAATATTTCTAGGAAATAGCATTAGAATATGCTCTGAATACTGTATTTTTATTACATTATTGATAGACCCAGGGGCGGATCTACTTAAGGGCTTTTTGGGCTGCAGCCCAGGGCCCCGTGGATACAAAGGGCCCCAGTCCTCACTGAAAACAATAGGTGATATTTTGAATTAAAAAAAATATCTAATTTTATGAAAAAAAAATATTATAAGGTTGGCAACCCTGAGATCAATCAACCCATGCATGTGCGCGTCTATAGAATGGAACGGGGAATTACCCGTCGCTTGTTTTTGGTCAGTCTATTTTTTCGCGTCTATTACGGGGGACTTCCCGGAGCGCTGCTTAACGCCCGACGCAATTTTGTTTTTTTTTCGCACCTCTGTTCTCGTCGTCAGAGGGACGAACTTGTTTAGTTTACTAATAACTAGAGCCCGGATTTTGATGACCTAAAAAATCTCAACTAATGCCCTTAAAAAGTGCAAAAAATGCACTTAAAAAGGGCCAAAAATGCCCATAAAAATGCAAAAATTGCGCAAAAAATGTCTTAAATTAAGCAAAAATATTGAATTAAAAAAATATTTCAATCTTTAAAATTATTATGAGTAATTTAAAAAATATAAAGCAATGCAATACTTCATTAAAGTTTAAAAAAAATGTTTTATATCCTAAAATAACAAAAAAAAGGAAAATATATTGACACCAAAATATTTTTCTTTTGTATAGAAACTTTAATGGATATAACAACTTCCATCTCATAATATTACTAAATATCAGAATTACATTGGATTATTAAATGTTTTTTGATAATTTGAAATGTAAACGAGCGTCTCTTGTCTGAAAGTAAATTTTCATTCCTGCAGAAGCTTCTTTCAACGTCTACTGATGTTATAGGTGCGTACTTGAAAAAGACGGTCTCACTTACT